CTCCCTCTGGCACTGCCAAGAGACTCGTGTTGTCCCCATGGCAAGAAGCCCTGAGCGCCTTGGTCAGTTTTTGAGAAGAAACATGGAATGGCCACAAAGGACTGGATTGTGGTTGAGGGGAGAAGCTTTTGAAATAGCCACGGCTGGAAGTAAGGCAGGACATGACTGTGGGAAGTCCCAAGGGGTGCTCAGTTGAGGATAGTTCACGACCTGTAGCATGTGCATTTCAGCAGCCCAAAGGAACCATTTTCTCTAAATCCTTCCTGCCCCACACCTGACCACTGAGGCTCTCCAGAGGCAAAGGAGACCTCTATGCATCACTTTTCTCCCAGAGAACTTGCACTCAGCTCTACCATACACCTCCCACCCTCCCAAAAATAATGTAAACAAGGTCCTTCTGTTTAGCCTGTGCCAAAGAAATCACTGTTTTGAACAGCTCTGGCCCTGATGATAAGGATTGTTTGAACACCTTTATTTTTCTTTCACTTGTGCTGCATTTAATGGCTGGTAGATGGTGTGTTCTCCTGTATTTGTGCACAGCCTCACTTCTACAGGTCAAACTCCTGAGCACACCTTGAAGGCGTGCAATACTACATTTAGGGGAGTCTGAGCTTGAAAGCAAAATGTGCTGGGTAAACTGACAGGCCTGCAGCAGTGTAGGTGCCTCTTGTAGACAATGTATACAGCTCTGTGAAAGGAGAAGGATGCTTTTACTGCTTTCTTCACCTACCTTCTTTATGTAGATGGTTATGGGCAGCCGGAGGACAGAAGGGCATCCAGTGGGTAGAATTAAAACATGATAATTGCTTTTTCTGCAGAGATTTGTTTTAGTGTGATTTATGATTAACTTTATATTTCAAAGTACCTTCATTTCATTGTAATTTTTTTTTTAAAAAGCATCTAAACACATCATGTGATGGGAAACCTTTTTCACTAGCATAACTAAGAAACACACAATGAGATTGTGGTCAAACTTTCTAAAACATTTTACCTCCAGAGCTAAGACCACGCACTGAAATGGGAGATTATAATAAAAGTCCAGACATAACCTTGATGATAGCTTCTGCTGTTTTGAAAGCTATAATATAGGGTAACTACTTGTACCAGCCCAGCAAATGGAGTATTTCTTTTGTCCCTGACATATACAAAAGATTCTTTTGGGCTAGGAAAGCATTTTTGGGTTCCTTAGTTGAATCACCAAAAGAAATGAAAAAAAAAAAAAAGGGAATAAAATTACAAGAGAAAAAGACTTATTGACTCCATCTAGTTCAATGAGCTCCCAAAATAGCAAGAAAATTCTGCCAAACCTCTAACGCCACAAGGTTCATTCATTCCCTGATCTGATCTGGTGTTTTTCATTCCACACTGGGATAGAAAATTTCACTAACCCCTCCCGGAGCTGCACAAATTGTTGTGTATTGTCTGCTCTTTCTCTGCTGGGAGCACCTCTGGTTATAGAAAAATAAGAGCAACAAAGAACGCTTGGGGGAGGAAAGAAAGAGAAAATAATGGTTATGGGGGAAAGTGCAAAGACAGGAGAAGCTGAAGGGATATACAAAATGAGAAGGAAAACACACGGGAAGGAGAAGAGGGGAAGGTGATGAGAGGAATAGAGGTGGCCCTCAGAATGAAAAGGAGATTATGAAGAGATATTTTATTTTCCCATCCATCTGTTAGAAGCAGAGAAAGCCATACAACAGCACTTCTCATTTCATTGTGCATTTGGTGGAATTCTCCCATCTGGTTTGACATGCCAGCTGAATCTACAATCTACCCTGAAGCCTCTACAAATACGTCAATCAAAATGACCTGCTGGGAAAGCTGTGAGAAGGCACTCTTTTGTGTTATCCTCACATGCATGTTAGACCCACACAGAAACCCTGCTGTATCTTAGTTTCAATCACAGGACATTGGAAAGCTCCTGCAGATGTTATTTTTGCCATGCAAGTAAAGGAATATTGTGATGTGACTAAACCATGAAAGATGAGGAAAAGCCATGAAATGGAGTCTGGTGTGTGAGCTAGCAGAGAAGGATCAGTCACACATGGGAGGTTCTGACAGAGGAAAAGCTCAGCACTCTTTTACATGACTCATCCTGGAACCACGGAGACAACCAGCTTTGCAAATACTTCTAGAGAGCCGATGATGAAATTGCTGCAGTCAACCCAGATGTTCCTATAAAGAAGCCCTTCAAGAAACTCCTGAAGCATCAGTGATGGCCAAAGAAAACTTCCCCATTATACCACAGAGCAATTTAAACAAGTTTCACCATCCAGCTGCAGGAACTATCTCAGTGTTATGATCTTTCTTTTGTGTGTTTCAGATGTTCTTGGACCCACAAAGTCAGTTCCCTGATTCAATAACAGGTCTAAATCCTTCACCTCACAGGAAGTTTGAGGAATAGTTTCACTGCATTGCAATTTAAGTTTAGATTTAGTTAAATTCTGAGGAAGCTTCCAGATATATGAGACCTGCTTGGTCTGTCATTGCCAAGCTGGGCTTTATCCAGATGCTCAGTTATATTTGCCAGTCCTAGAAATGTCTCTTACCAGTGCTCACAATATGTGCAAAAGGTAAATTATAGTTGTTCATGTTTGCATATCACTATTCAAATGACAAATATCTGGTCTTCCAGCTGGTACTGCACATACCATGAAACTTTAGGCTATAGAAGAGTAATTTGAGGAGCCTGCCCCAGTAAAAGATCAGATTTTTTTCTCACCTCATGACCAAACTTTCAAAGGAGAGCCTGAATAAAAACCCTGTTTTCTTAAGATCATTTCATGCTGCTAGTTTTTCATCTTCATATTTTTCCTCCATATTTCTATTCTCATCAGACATAGTGGGAGAGAGTCCTATTTTATTTTTTCCAAGCAAATAATGCAATTAATTGTAATCCCATGCTGTAAGCTGACCTCAAGTGAGAAATTCTGACTCTTCTGAGAAAAGGACAAAGTCAGTATTTTCATATTTCTTGCGTATACATCTTGTATTTGTGGGGTTTCCAGACAAAGGAAGGACATGATGCATCTGACTCCATGTTCTTAGAAGCCTGATTTATTATTTTATGATTTATTTTATATTAAAGAATGCCATACTAAAAGTACACTAAACTATACTACAGAATACAGAAAGGATACAGACAGAAGGCTAAACAATACTGCTTGCAACTCGCGCCTCTCTCTCCAGAGTCCAAAACAGCTTGGCCCTTGATTGGCCAATAACTGAAAACAATTCACAGCAGAAAGCAATGAAACAATCACTGTTGGTAAACAATGTCCAAACACATTCCAAAGCAGCAAAACACAGGAGAAGCAAATCAGATAATTATTGTTTTCCTTTTTCTCTGAGGCTTCTCAGCTTCCCAGGAGAGAAATCCTGGGCAAGGGATTTTTCCAGAAAATATGACTGTGACATACACAGTTACACAAGTGAAATCAGAATTGTCTTGTGAGCATGCTGAGAAGGAAGGGCTGCAGTGGGACACCCATCATGTTAGGAAGCAGTGATGTAGATAGAGTGGTAGGGTGGGGACTAACAAAATAACTAATACATAATAAAGAGGCACTATTTGTTACTTCCATGGACAGGTACACTCTGGAACATAATTTTCTTTACACCCTTCACACCAACTTAGAGAAAAGTATAAATGCTCTGTAGCCTTGCTCCCACCTCCTGATTCTGAACATCAGATGTTGATGCCTTCTCATTAGTATTGTACTCCTGATACCCGGCTTTCTGCAAAAACAAACTGGCATACAGCTCCGTTTAGGGCTCTTCTGTGATGAAAGGCACATTATTTCAGAATAGCCAAAACCTTAGCAGAGGATGCCTTAGGAAATATTGCCACTATTTTCTTCTGACAGGTAGTCACAACTTAAATAAATGTGTCTGGGTGGGAAATTGATACAGCAATGATCATTCGTATATGACCCTGATAGAAGCCTTGGATGCTTCACTGATTAATTCATTTCAGCTTTAACCACTGGCACTGCTGAAGTTAGTTAAGTTTTCAATTGGCCTGCAATTGGATCTTAATCATCCACCTCAAAGGTATGGGGAGACAATTTGAGCCAACGTGATGACTCACTGTCATGCTAAGCAGGTCACACTTGTCCAGAAGGGTTGCATAAGGATGGGGGAAGGGAGGGAGCTCTCCAGAATGGTGCTAAACTGATCTGTGCTGATCTCAATCAAGCCTCTGTCCAGCAGTAAATCAGATCCTGTGACACAAGTAATTGAAATAGAAATCTGGTGTCTTTGTGAGCTAAAGAATGTTCCTTTCTTTAGGTGGCAGACTGGTGAAATGATGCCTTCTGTAAAATGTAGTGGAAATAGTTTCAGTAAGGCCTACCATATCAAACAAAATTTCTGTTCATAGTGAGAACATTAAAAGTACCACTGGAATTGATTTTGTTGTCAGGTTCTGTTAACAGGACCACCATCTCTCTCACGCATCTTCTGAGAAAACCAAGAACCTCTGATTTAGAAGAAACTGGAAGAAGTTCACTGGGTTCCAGTTTGTGCTTTCTGTATTTATATTGGAGGTTTGGATTAATAGGTTTTGTAAAACTGAATAAATTAAACAGTCTCTTGTCTTTTTCTCCTAGAGGAGGTTTCATCCCCTTCAGGAGACTTCCTTACTACCTAGCTTCACAAAATTCCACTCTTCATTCCATATCAGATAACCAAGGCAAAGTTTTAAATAGGGGAAGTGTGGGGCCAGCTACACAGCCTCATATGGGAGAGCTGCTCTCTGTTTTCTCCTTTCCTGACATATGATCAGATGCACAAAGGCCATGTGCCAAAAATGCCACCACCCCACATCATGTGAGGGGTACATATGCAGTGGCATAATGGGGAATAACATTCAATCATGTGCTCATATCCTCCCTGTCACTTGATGGAAGGAAGGGCTGTGGGGACTTGGAAAAGATGATAGCAAAGAAAAAACTAACAGAAAAATTATTCCATCCTGCAGAACACTCCCTCTTCAGCCACCTCCAAAAACAGCTTCAAGTGACACTTCTTTTTGCTAATGGGCAGCTGGGAGCCTGTCCTAGCAGAGAATGCCTTGGCTGTGTCTTCTGCCCTCATCATCATATGGCTGAGCTACACCAAGGTCACAGATGTCATGAAGAAGCCTTTAACCTATAGAGGATTCTGGGAACAGGCTATCATTTCATCCATACAGCTTGGTGAGCCATGATGTCTGATTCCGCCTGTGCTCAGGGTGTGTACTCCGAAGATGTGCAAAATGTGAGTAAGGATATAGGAAACTAGGATAAACGTCTTTACCATCTCCACATGCTCCTCCACATGCCCACCATGCTTTTAGATACACTCTTCTCTAACAGAGACATGCAGCAGAATATTCTTTTTATATTTTAAAATAATAAAAATTTACAATCAAAGGGGTTTTCCCCATGAAGCAACCATTTGTCTTCCAGCAGCAGCTTCTTCCACTTCTGCCTCCACTGTTCAGGATCACTTCCTTCACCCATGCATCCTCTGAGCCATGTCTAGTACTGTCTGTGGTATGCCTCCTTAGATCCACATCGCTTCTGTGTAAGAAAAGACGGTATCTTCATTTTGATTTTTGGGGGCAATTACAGGTCCTATCTGAACAAGGTGCAAGGAGCTGCCTATGCAGTGAGTATGGCTGATGCTATAATAAAGGGGAGAACAACTTGTATCAGTTACAATCCTTCTTCTACCTCCTCTCTTTGTCTCCATCATAATTTTATTTGAAGTGTTCTTTGTATCTCATTTAGCATAGAGAGATCTTCACAAAGGCCTCTGAGGTTATATGTAAAATTATGACAGTGATATATATAGAATGAAATCTACCATGCCATTCCTGTTACTTCACATCTTCCTAGACAAGCAATGGGAGAAGTTTGGGATCCTCTGTTTTAGTAAAAGATGATGTAAGGATGATTGTTCCTTCAAGGCTTCGTCATCTACAACTTTAGGCACCTCAGTTCAGTACATTCTTGAACTGTATTTCCCCATCAGACCATTGCTTATTTGAACTCTTTGAATTGTCTGTTCTGTTTGCTTCTTTGAAGTTCTGCTCTGTCAGTCAAGTTCCCTATGAGTTACTTTCCTCTTCATGTCATGGTGCTAACCAAAAATTGATCATTGGTGCAGGTTGCAATCCAGCTACTAAGCTATATTCAGAGCTGTGACAAAGGGGCATCAGGCAAGGAACTCCCCAGGGAGCATTGGCTTTAGTGGGGAGAATTCAGTGTATCATGGGTTGATGTTTCACAGAATGAACCATATCAGTTCAAAACAATATCATCAGTTTCAGGAGTTTAGCTTGGGCAAGATAGTAAATAAATATATAAACATTCACTATTTCTGAATCACTTTTTTTTTTTTTTTTTAAGGAGAAATTTTGATGGGTTTTATTTTGGTTTTTTTTGTTTGGTTTGGTTTGGTTTTGTTTGGTTTGGTTTTGTTTGTTTTTTTTTTTTTTTTTAGGAGAACATCCAAAGGAGGGCCACAAAGATGGAGAAGGGCCTTGAGGGGAAGCCTTGTGAGGAGCAGCTGAGGTCACTTGGTCTATTCAGCCTGAAGGAGACTGAGGGGAGACCTCATTGCAGTTTGCAACTTCCTTGAGAGGAGAAAAGGAGAGGCAGGCACTGATCTCTTTGTGGTGACCAGTGACAGGATCTGAGGAAATGGCCTGAGTTGTGTCAGTTTAGATTGGATATCAGGAAAAGGTTCTTTCACCCAGAGGGTGGTTGGCACTGGAACGGGCTCCCCAGGAAAGTGGTCACAGCACCAAACCTGACAGAGTTCAAGAAGCATCTGTACAATGTTCTCAGGCACAGGTTGTGACTCTTGGGATCTCCTGTACAGAGCCAGGAGTTGGACTCAATGATCCTTATGGGTCTCTTCCACCTTAGGATATTCTGTGATCCTATGATTTTTGATCCTATGTGTTTTGATTTGGGAACAGAAGTGAATGTTGAAATATTAGAATTTCTCAGAATGTCATGTAATGTAAATAAATTGTGTCCTGTTACAGTTCCTTCTGATGGGAACTCTGCTGAATTTTCTTGAAATGGAAGAACAGACATTATGTCTGTTCCTACCAGCCATCACAAAGCAGCTTTGTAGTTTTGGGCCAAGCTGAAATGCCAGTGTGTGAGCTGCAGCATCTAAGCACAGATGTACTTCCTATGCTTGCACTTCTGCTAAAAGAGGTGATGCCTCCAGAGAAGGACCAAAGCAGAAAAGCCAGGGGAAAGTGGCACTTTTGGCCACCTCAGCACATGAAGTTCTTGCACTTCAGTACTCTTGCTGTACTGCTGAACTTGCATTCCAGGAGACACATATGATCCCCTCACATGAAAGCTGTCGCCAAAATATTTCTGTGGTTGGCCTTCGGTTTTGCAACACAGATTTATTCGCCCTCTCCTCACCTGGTAGCGTGTGAGTTTTTGTTCCCTGACATCTGGCAGAACTCTGTGATATAACTTTGTGTAAGGTAAGTGTGATTGAACACTAATAAAAGAGGAATTTAGGTTTGAGTTTGTGTTGGCATTCCAGTATTTAGCTTTTAATTTCTGCACCAATGTTTGGAATGAGCTAAAATACTTCCAATATGAAAACAAAATATACCTAAAATTTTTTAAATTAATTCCCTGACAATAAGAATATCTTCTTTATATTTATATGTTATCATGACATGCTGAAGTGGCACTGTTAATGATAATGTTAATTATCTGCATATAAGATTAACTGAACAGTCAGAGTTTACTTCAGTTTTTCTATAGGCCACCTTGTAAACTACATTTCTTTTCCTTAGCTGATCATTCTTCTCAATATATTTTACTGTGATTTTTTATAAAGAAAGTAAAAAAAAATCCTTGATTTGAACACTCACATATCAGCTGATCAGTCAAAATAACCAAAACCAGAAATGAGATCATATATTCCAAAAAGCTTTATATTTTATAATTTATTTCCATTATATTTTTAAGAATTGTAATTTTTAAAGGTATTTATAAGGATAACTTTTTTGGGGAAAAAAAACTAAAATGGGCTACTTCAATCTCATAAACCATTTCCTATTAATATTTTCAAACCTGAGATCACTCCTGTGAGAACTGTAGAGTGTATTGAGAGATCTTAAAGGACAGTTTGACAGTCCAGCAAAATTATGTTTCTTTCCTACTGGGACCTTTAGCCACAAGCTGAGTCCAAATTAGTGTCAATGAGCTGACCTTCAAGCTGGGATTGAAACTTCAGACTTCTGTAACTCCACCATTTGAATAGTACTGAAATAACAAAAACAAATAATGAAAGAAAAATTGGTGTTGTTCCTGTACCAGGCATCCCAGACAATACTTGCAATTAGCAAAATAAAGGAGCATTTCAATTATATGAAGATCTGTATTATGAATTTAAGTCTTTGATATCATATGTGTCTAAGGACAGTGCTGGAAAAATTCCCTCTCTGTTTCAATGACAAACTGAAGTGAACTCTCAAAACACTGTCTTTTGTGAGTTGCATTAGAGGCTGAGATTCCCAAAGAAAAAATTGTGTCCAGCACTCAAAGGCCTGTGCTCCAGAGAACGTATCTTTGAACAAAGCAAGGTACATGCAGATACTGAGATATGGAGATTCCTCTCCTGAGTGTTTCCCACCAAGGTGGGAAGATAATCTAGATGCTGTTTCACCTGGGAATGCCACCAGCACTTGAACAGCACAAGATTCTCAAGAAAGGGCATCAGTATTCTGAAGAACCCCATGAATGAAAGAGAACAGCACATTACTATAAACTTCACTTAATAGCATGAGTATTTAAACATCTATTTTTTTCTGCAGTAAAACTGTTATTATCTGAACTCTCCACCTTGATTCCAAATATCTGGATTTTATCAAACTCACTCATTTTTGAGAAATTACAAAATAACGAAATCCATTTAGAAGGAGACAAGGAATAAAATCTTTCAGGAAAGTTATAGCTCCCTTTAAAAACCTGGAATGAGGCACTGATCTCCAGTGCCAGATTGCAACAATGGCAAAAGAAAAAGTCATCAAGGAAAATGCTGACTTCATATCACACCTGGTGGTAACAAACCCAGCTGCAGTTTCAAGCAGGGGAACAGTACTTCTCCCTCATCACTTTAAAGTCTGATCTGTTTTAAAGTTCCTGCTAAATTTGACAGTTTAAAGGGACATTTAATGGAATTGCTCCTTGTACCTTGGGTTATGCTTTAGCTCGGGAAGGGAAAACTCGCCAGTTTTGCTGAAGTCCTGCCAGGAGTGCGGCAATGTGCGCTATGCGTGATCATCCATTTGGGACAGGAGCGAGATGGTCACTTGCACAGACCTTTTATAGCCATCTGAAGATCAAATAACCTGCTGTGGTTCTAATCAGGGCTCAGCTCGGCAGGAACTGCCAAAAGGAAAAGGCCAAAGGAGAGAGAGAATTCAAAGCTCACATCGTAACAGCAATCAAGTGGGGCCATAGTTACAGGCAAACCACAGAAATGAGCAGGGTAAAAGAATTATCCAGCTATCACAGGCACATTAACGCTGGTCGCATTCCAAAGCACTCATTACAGCACTCCAGTGTGGCTCTCTGTACAGCTGGTCAAATAATGCTCATCAAATAAATGATTTGACAAATTTTGCAGAGTTTCAAAAATAAATTATCCAAAAAATGTGTTTTTTAAATTATTCCCACAGCTGTAGTCTTGCAAGTCTAAAAATATGTTTAAACTCTCCTCTTTCCCTGAGCCTTCTCACTCTCTCCATTTTCTTAATTCATGCTCCCAGTTGTACCTTCTGAGCAGCCCTGTTAAAATCTCTGGGTGCACATTGCAGCCTTCCTAAGAAACTCAAAAGAGCAGCCCAGTGTACATTGTCCAGTTCTCCTGTGCACCCCTAGACTTTAATAATAAATCAGCAAGTCAGTACACGTGACAAAGCCCAGAACCATGCCAGTTTCTCTCAGACAATTTAGGCATCCAGTGGCACTTCACCAGCACTCCACTGCCCTTAAGGGCACCATGTTGGTTTATACAGTGTGAGGATCTGCTCCATCATCACCATGACTCAGGGCAAGGGACATTTTAGAAAGGGTCCTGCTTACTTTTCTGCCTGAGTACGGTTCTCTGTTGTCTGGTACACTGGGATTTGTTAGTAAGTACAATTCTGCAAATTTGTATTTTCCCATGATAATCTCATTTCAATAAACAACCAAAAACCAGAGCACATATTTATTGACTCTAATGGATTAAAAAAAAAATTATTACTGGAACCAGGAAAATTACTTTATATACATAACAATGCATTATGAGTGCTTGTCCCAAAGAAGTATGGAAGAACAGGTTCAGCAAAATTTTTCCAGTTTTTCTGAGCGGCTTCAAATGATGACCATGTTAATACAGGCAAGGTGGTGCAGTTACCCCTGAATGCTGGACCCCGTTCTTGGTTCAGTTCTCCACAGCTCTTGTTTGAAGGCCCTTCAGGTAAGAAACATGTAGGCCAAAGTTTTTCCTTTTTTTACTATCATTAGGAACAGAGACACAACAGCAGAAAGAGAATTTATTCTGTATCAGCAGAAAAAAAGTAATTTTCCTAGTCCCGCTGGACCAACTCATCCAACAGTATAAGCATACATTTAATCAACAAAAAGAAGTCAGTGTAGAGACGATTCAAAACTGTGCAGAAAAAATTATTACTTTTTTATTGTGTTGGCAGATTTTAAGACCATTTGCAAGAGGTCCCAGATAGTTGGCAGATCAGGTCCTGTTCCTGCTTCTGGTCAAAGCTCAAAGCTCCTTCCTCCTGAACAGTGAGATTATTGGTCGATAGAGGGAGGCTTCTGACCAGGGAAGCAGGAGCCTGGCCAGGACCTAGGTCAGGCTGCAGAATTTTTCTGTCTGGTGAAAAGTAAGTGAATGTTCAGTCTTGCCACTTTTAGAAACAAATGCAATTCCTATATATTTGGAATGGCTTGGGTTTTGTTGTTTATTGGGGGGGGGGGGGTTTTTGTTGCTATTTTTAAGTAATAATACTTTTTGTTGTACATTCATTTAGAAAATCAAGTCAAACTTAACATTTCCCCATAGGAAAGGGAGAACATAATGTTTTTATCACTTACTACAGTCATGATAACAAGGGATGTACAAGCATCATGTTATTAGCAGAATTATATAATACCACATTTAGAAAGAAATTACCACTTCACTGCTGTCCACTAAAAAATATGTATCCAATATATTTGAAACACAGAAATACAAGCCTCTCAAAATTTCTCATTTCTTTTTGACTATTTCTTTTTCCAAACTTGACAAAATTACTGTGGCTAAGAGATGACAATGGAGAGATGTGCACTATTTCTTTAAATCCAGAGCAGGAAAAAGCCATATGCAATAGTAAGCCTAGGCAGTAACTTTGGAGATAGATCAATTTTCCTTAATCTAATATAGTTGAGAGGCAGCAGGAGGGTGCTTGTACTGATCCATATCATTCTGGTAGTTCAAACCCTTCACAAATACTCTATCAAAATGGGTGTTAAGCAATGTTGCAGTCTCACTGGGAAATTAAGTTGTAGATTGTTCTTATGATTAGGACAGGAAGAGTAGTGTGTGCCAAAGGAAGCTGTGTTGGTGATTTTAGGCACATGACCAATTTGTATTTGCTAGGATATGGACAAAGATGTGCCAGTTCTCTCCATAAAAGCTCCCAAGTGGTCAAAGAAGTTCAGTAAAGTCAGTGGAAAATTAAGCATAAGAAAAAAACAGTCCAGTAATGGAAACAAGTAAAAATTAAAATGTGTATCTAAAATGGTACCACGATGTCAAAAGCAGAAGAAAAAAAAATAAAATTGACCTTTCTAATTCTGTGTGTATTGCAAAAGTTCTTTAAAATCTTACACATTTTACATTTCTTTCTCTTTCCTCATATGCGTATTTTTTCACCTTTATAGAAATGGATTCCAAAGCCACTTTTATTGCCCAAGAAGGAGCTTTCAATTGTGTCAGAATATTTAGTCTTTAAAATATGGTAGAGGGAGGGGAAAGGAAAAAAAGATCTCAGAGTAAGAAGCCAGAAAGCACCAGACTGTTATTTTCCAGATGCAGGATAACCATCTATTTCTATTTTTATAGGCCAGTCCTGAAACACAAAGGACATGCTCCCATCTTATGGGACTTCAGTTTGGGACTGTCAGACTTGTAGATCCAAAGGCTGCAGCCCTTTTGGGAGGCTCTCTCATCTTGCTGTCCACATGAATGAACTAGTAGTACATGGGGTAATTAGGTCTGGGCTCAAGTGTAGCTCTCATGAAACTTCAGGAGTATCCCAAGAAGCTGAGGGATGATGGAGCTGGGCCTGATCTGGCCTCCATGCAGCATCCTGCAATGTTTGTGGTGCTTCTCAGCTAAGTCACTGCAGGTATAACAGCGGCTGCTGCTGCAGCTTCGCTGAGGAAAGCTGGGAATAGCTTTCCTTTCCTAAGTCACCTACACAAGTCCTAAGGGAAACTCAGATAACAGGGCTGAAAACACACTTATTTGGGGCAATAAAGAAGTCAACAGGAAAACAAGGCAAAAATCATATCAAAGATAAATGAAGCAGAGTAGGTATAAGCACAGATGCTGGAGATGTTGTTAGGGAAGCAGACCCCATCAAGATTCTAAAAAGGCTGAGAGAGAAGTGAGGATGAAACAAAATAAAGAGGAAGAAACTTAGAGACCTATCAGAAGGCAGGGTGTCACAGAAAATGTGCTGTAAGAACATCTGTGTGGGTGCATAAGAATTTGGACCAGCATTGAAGAGGATGAAAGAGAAAAGAAATCTAAGTCCAAAACATCATCAGTGCAACCAGGGATGTCATTCAAAATAAGGACTGGGCATCAATGAAGGAGAAAGAGGTAGAAAGATAAAAAATTCAGAGAAAGAAATTAGAGAGACTGGAGACAGAGCAAGAAGGAGATTCATCAAAAACAGTCATCCAGGATCCTCAGTGCAGCAGCTGAGTTAAGCTTCTCCTAAGGGGAAAACTTTGGTCTCAGTGGCAGGGAGTAGAACCATAAAAAGATCACAAGGTCTAAATAAGCATTTTAACAATCAAGCAGGGATTTGAGAGGAAGCAAATAGAGAGAAGAGGGAAGAGGCATAAAGCTGGACAGACTAAGTCAAGGAGAAGGAGAGGCTGTAGGGAGAGCTTGGTATTTAGAATCTGCATATTTCTTCCTTAAAGTGATGAGGCAATTTATTTTGGAGGGGTTTATACTGTGTGGAGGGCAAAGCAGCTGTAGATGATCTGTCTCATGCAAGTTACAATTGAGCCATCGGTGTCAGGTGGCACAGGAAGAGTTAACTTGAAGTCCCACCAAGTGGCAGTACAGCTGCTGAAATGCATCTGTCAACAGAACTATTACTGTCATCAGATCAGCACAATGTCCTTGACCCTGGAGGTCAACTGCAAGGCATTAGCTGCTACACAGACAGGGCTGTCATGCTCCTGTGGGAACCCAAAGGTTACAAGACCAACTGGACCAGCCCCAAAAGAAAAACTGTCCTTCCTCATCCTACAGAGGTGCAGGTGGAGTGATGTGACAGAGTTCCCCCAGTGCCTTTTTCCTATGGAATCCTAGATTTAAACATTCCCTTTCAAGCAGGCAAGGAGAGGGACTCTGCTTATTGCCTTTCATAGTCCCATTTTTGCACATCACTAAAACATTGTGTGGTTTGTTGGGTGCAAAGCCTGCACTAGACATTGAATGGCTGGAGGCTGGAAGAGGGTGGGAAGTAGATTTGCCCAGGGGAAATGGCAAGAGTGGAAAGGGTTGGGGAAAATAAACAGCATGGGATGAAGGTTTTAGGACTGCAAGAGTGAAGAGTTGCAGGATAGGACTAAGATGTCCGTGCTTTCAACCATAAGAAGATTAACACAGGTGTTAAAAATTCCTTTTTTAAGTAACTGGTGGCATTCACATTAACTTCAGCAATGTTTTTATTATTTGTTTACAGTAAAATCTCCTGTAGACTACTGTAAATCCATTGAAAAGTTTTACTGAGTAAAATCTCAGTTAAAGTTCTTGGCTGTCATAGAGGCAGAGGGCTCTTAATGTCACATTTCCCTGAAGGGATGTGAAGTCTTAAATCTAAGATTTCATTAGTGAACAATTTCATTAAATCTCCTCTGCTGATATATATAGACACATAATCCAGCGCTGTTCAATTTTCAAGCCTGGCAATTTCAACCCAGCTTAACTGAAATATTATCTAAATTGCATTTTTAAACAGGTGATTGGCAGTGAAAAGGCAGCATTTCCCTCAATAGTAGAATATGGCAGCAGGGAGATGAGAGAAGGCAGAGGAAGAAGAGAACAAAGACAGAAAAGGTCAAAGAGAAAAGGAAAGTAATCAGCTGTTTTTGTTGTTTTTTTTTTTTAATTTAGTAAAGTGATTGTAAACTGTTAGTCTCATAGCACATTTTTTCAGCTTGTGGAGGTGCCTCTCCTCGTGCTCTTCCAGCTTACCTCCCGACAAGTGTGGAGGTTTTTTTTCTTTTAAGATAGCCCACACTAGCAAGACATATATATGTGTTACTTAAACCAGGCACAGCCTCCCACTATGTGCCAAGCAGGGAGAGGACTCTACCCTTTTGTTCATCTTCAGGTTCTGCAAATCCTGCAGCACTCGTGAAGTCAGCTCAGCCCTCACAGCAGGTGGAAGCTCCCAGCCCCGCAGCAGCTGTGCACAGACTTGATCTTCAGGTTTTCACACACAGTCCTCAACCTCCCCTGCCCAAGCTTTCTTTCCTTTTTTTTTTTTTTTTTTTTTTTTTTTTTTTTTTTTTAATGCAGAAAGCAGTAACCCTTTGGCCCAGCTAGCCTGCTGCTATCAGATTCCAACAGAGGAATTCTGGGCATGAAGCTTCACAGAGCAAACAGGTCTCCCGCCTTCTCTAAATGTCTCCCCCTCCCACTCTCCCTCCCTCTCTGTTGCTGGGAATCCGCCCTTACCCAGTGCAGCAGGGACGATATTTTTGAATTGTGTTTATTTGTTGGCACCCTGGTGTGAAAGCGTTTCCCATCAACTCCATATTAATCTTGTCAGCAGTTTGTGAACATTTTCCTCTCTGCCCTAAGCAGTCCATGACTTTTGGGTCTCTTGCTCTCTTCCATTCCCACTTCCCATTGTATTTAAAGAGAAATTAATCTTCCTGGTTTTTGTTAAATTGACTTCAACCACGTCAAAATAATAAAACAGGGATTGTTTTAGCCTTAGAAAAAGTGAAGATAGAAAAGCTGTAAATTGGCTTTTAGAAAAACATAGATGGGGATACAGGTACCTAGGCTTTGTATGTACTTTTAGATGATCTTTAAAAGTCCTCAGATGATCTTTGAA